AGCTGTCCCCAGCATGGAGACTATGCCCGTGAGGGCTGGCTTAGGAAACCTGACTGGCCGGGGGAGTGGGGAAGATGAGGGAGGATAGGGGAAGGGGCCCGGAACGTCCATCAGTGGCCAAGCCTCCCCGTGAGTCAAGGGGGAGTCAATGCTGCTGCACACCTCAGCCAAGGAGCCACTGCCTTTCCAAACAAGAGCTTCTGTGATAGGGGCAGGCGGCACACCTGTTCCTCCACCCCGCATAAGGAAGACCGTCCCCAGGGCCACCTACCCCGGGGCTGCAGGGAGCGGGGCAGGTACTTCAAGACCATGAATCCCCTGCAATCCCCACCACAACCCTATGAGAATGGCCATATTATCACCCCCATCTTACAGATGAGAAAATGAAGGCTCAGGTGACTTATTCAAGTGTCCCTTGAGGTAAGTGGCAGAGCTGGAATTCAAGCCAAGGTGACTGTTCTTTAACTGGACATCCTGAGAGGAGCTGGTGTGTGTGTGAATGTGTGCGGTGGTGGGCGTGGGCGGTGTTTGGTGGACTTGGCCCATATAAAGAACGGAGCTCTAAGCCATCTTCCCCATGGCAGCTCCCCCGGAAAGTCCCTGGCAGTTGCCAGCGTCTGGACTCCGCTCTGGGGTCCAGCCTCCCTTAGGTTAAGGCCCTGCAACTCCAGCAGGACTTGGGGAGGGATGCAGGGAGACCCATTGTTCTGTTATCGCCTTGGTACAAAATAGCTGGAAATGGGGTCTGGGACAGGGCAACACAGAGTTGGGGGGCGGGGTGCTGGCAGTGAGAGCCAGAGCCTCAGGCCACCGGCCAGAGAGAAGGGGAGGCAGGAGAAAGAATCTTTGCTCCCTAGAGGGTGGGACGGAATAGAAGGTCCAGAGCTTGCGTCATCTGCTCCAGCTGTGGTCCCTCCCAGGGCTGCCATCGGCCCCGTGGGCAGGATAGGGGTCTAGAGATCCCCTAGCCCAGAATCTATCGCCAGGACCCTCAAGCAGTGAATCCACTTGTCAAGGGCTGTACTGGAGAGGCCTGGGGACTCAGGGACTTGTGTTCAGATCTTGGCTTTGCACTACCAGCCTCGTGCCTTTGGGCAAACTCCTCTTTGAAGGAGCCTCCCTTCCTTCCACCGTAAACGGGGCAGTGGTCCCTGAGTCACAGGGCTGTCGGGGGCTAGAGAGCTAATCTAGAAGTCACGGGACACAAAGGAGGCTTTATGAAATTGGCTGCACTACTGACATCCTCGCAGCGGCCTCTGGGCTGCAGGTTTCATCGGAGGCCCACAGCTAAGGAGGAAGCCGAGGCAAGGCTACCGGGTGGCTGGGCCTCGGCTGGCTCCAGCTGGCTTGCTATCAGGCCATCCCTCGAGAGCATCATTATTCCAAAGGCCGGGGCTGCCTTAGTCAGTCTTGTCTCTCAAGCAGATCCTGAGCCAGCGGAGGGCGGAGTTGCAGCATCCGTCTCCCTCATCACCTCAGCATCACCACTGGGCTCAGTGTCCAGGCTGCTGCAAAGAGTGAGGACAGAGCGGAACTGGCCAGGAGAGGCGGGTGCAGGATGCGAGTCCCGTGGCAGTGGCAATCCCCGTCTCCATGCCACGGCTCTGCAGTTGAGAAAGGTTCCACGCCCCATTTCCAAGAACCTCCAGGAACATGTGCCCTGGGATCTGGTAGTAGAGGGTTTGTCCTGGAGCTGGAAGGTGGCAGTGTGTCCTGAGTCACTGGGCCCAGAGGACAACTGAGGTCACAGGCAGATTCTGCCATCACTGGTAAGCCACACCCTGTCTTTGGGGCTCAGTTTCTTTGTCTAAGAAAATGAGACTGTGGTCTCTAGGGTCCCTCCCAGCCCTGCCTCACAGCAGCCACACTCCAGGCCCCTGCTGGGCCCCAGCTCAAGCTGCCCCACCCCCAAGTCCCGCCACCCCTCAGCCTGGACCGGCACACAGGTCCTGTCTTCCTACTCTTTCTGTCTGAAGGGGCCCAGTTTCCAGAAAGGCAGAGGAAAGCCCAACCTTTCATCAGAAACATTTCCAAAGCTTTAGGGACAAATAGGAACATTCCCTACTGTGCCGAAGAGGGCGAGAGGTCAGGGCAGAGCAGGTGGCAAGAAGGAGGCATCCCTGGGGTCCTCCCCTGAAGGGTCTGAAGCTACTGCTGTGGGCAAGGGGATCAGGCCCTCTGATGGCCTCCATCACCGCTCAGAAATCACTGGGAGGTTCTTCCTGTCTCAACGGTCATTCACATGGGCAGAACACAAAGAATTCCTGTCCTTTTCACTCAGAGAATAGGCCCGCCTGTCCCTTGGCCCAGTGACCATGTCAGGGCCCTTAGGGCAGCTAGTGTCGTCATCAGGACAGCCTGACTTCCAGATCCTATGGGGCTAGGGGTCTGGTGAGAATGCAGCAGGCACCTACCTCTCCTCCTGGCCCCAACTCTCCCCATGCCCCTCCCCCGCCCCATGGCTGTTCAGGAACTTAGAGGGGAGGAGAAGAGGGTGGGAGAGGAAAGGAGAGGAGCTTCCTCAAAGGGATCCTCCACTAGGTTGAGCCCATTTCTTCAAAAGCAAGTGGTGATCTGTCTTCTCTGTAGGCTGGGGGAGGCAGGTGGAAGGGTCCCTGCCCTTTTCCCAGGATAAGATGGGCCACAACCACAGTCCAGGACTGAGTGTCTCCCCAATCCTGGGGTGCTGACTTAGTGGTTAAAGGACTAGCTCATGACTTAAAAGACTTGTGCTTCATCCTGGCTCTACCACTTATGAGCTGTATGCCCTTGGGCCAGTGACTCTGCCTCCCTGTGCCTCAGTTTCTTCATCTGTTAAATGGGTGTAATAATGACACCAACCTCTCACCAGTGAGAAGATGCACAAAAATATCCAGAACAGCGCCTGTTTTGTAGTTAATGTTCAATAATAATGCTGCTCATTATTTTTAGATTAGAAGATTCTATTCCTTGCCTCAGTTGCCCCCTTGACCAAATCTGCCTCACAGCAGGTCCCCTTCTAGGGATCATGTGCCGGGTCAGAGTGGGGTGCTCAGAAGGGAGTGGTCATAAGAAGGAAGTGGGATGAGAGAGAGCAAGGGTCACTTTGGGGCAGGAGGATGATGCTGCGCTGGCCCTGGGAGGGGTCCCACCAGTGTAGCAGGATAAACAGTGAGACACAGGGTGCCGGGGAGGTATCATGGGCCAGGAGTCAGAACATCAGGCACCCCGCCCTGCAGCTGCCACTCCTGGCCTGTGTGTGTCCTGGGGTGACTGATATACTGTCTCTGAGCCTCACTTCCCTCACCTGTGAAATGGGAGGAATTCATCCCTTCTCAGTCAGCCTTGCCTCCTATCTCTTCCTCAGCCCCTCACTCCCCTGCAGCTGCAGGGCACACACATTCCAGCCTCAGGGCCTTTGCACGGGCTGTCCTCTAGCTGTCTACACAGCTCACTCCCTCATCTCCCTCAAGGCTTTAGCTCAAAAGTTACCTCCTCAGGGAGGCCTCCCTGACACCCTGTTTAAAATGACAACCCAGTCCCTGGCCTCAGTACCCCCAACACAACTTTTCCCCTTCACCTCTCAGTACACTATATAATTTGCTTATTGTTTTTTGTTAGCTAATTGCCTCTTCCTGCCCCCTGCTTTTAAGCATTAGCTCCATGAGGACAAAAATTTTTATTTTGTCCACAGCTATCTCCCCAGTGCCTGAAACTGTCCCTGGCACTTTTCTCCATATGCCATTTTTGGTGTAATGCTCACAAACATTTTGTTCGATAAGCAAAAGTAAAGGACAGCCCCAAACTGTGTCACTATGGGACATTCCTGTTAACTCCAGCCCACTCCTCCGCCATACCCCTAGAGGGGCAGGCCCTTCTTCCCACAGAGGTGGGGCTATCTGAAGAACTTGGGAGGCTGGGTGTGAGCTGGAGAAGGCACAGGGGGCCTGGAGGCAGAGCTGTGCAGAAAACAGGTCGCAGTCCTAGAACCGGCAGGTCATGACAGCTGGACATGGGTGAAGGGGCTTTGGGCCTTAGTCCTCCACTCCAAATTTGGAAGCACGGAGGAAGTTGACGACGTGTAACTGGGAAAGAAGCGGCCAGGGCAGAGGCCTCCTGGGATCGTGGAACAGAGGGGGCCTCAGGAACAAGACGACCCATTTTACAGATGGGACAACAGAAGCCTAGAGAATAGTCTTATTTCCTAACAACCCAACAAGAAAAATCTTTTCTCTCCTTTCTTGAAGTCTGGGATTGAGGCTAAAGGGCGGACAGTGCCCCCTCCTGGCTCTGCAACAAAACGACCCCCGCGTCCCTGGGATCTGCCGGCCGCAGGTCCTGGTCCCCTCTCCACAGGCCATCGGGGATGGAGGTTCAAGGGACCACATAGTTGGGGTGGGCAGCCCCGGTGACTTCTCCTCGCAGGCCTGCCCCGTCAAGAAGTTTGTTTGAAAGAAACCAACCAGGAAGTGAGGGATAGTAGGGTGGTGAGGGGGCCTTGGCCAGCCGCTCTGGGCTTTGGAGGAGCCTCGGGGTTCTTGGCCTCTGCGCTACTCCTGCCCCAGCCTCCATCGCTCCGGAGGAGAAACCCACTGCCCCCGAGCTCCAGGAGGAGGCGGAAGCCCGCGACTGGGTCAGGGCGAAGGAGCTCAGAGCGAGGGGACCCAAGGCGAGCGCCCCGCCCCGCCCCGCCCAGTAGGGCGCGCCGGGGTGGGCGCGGCGTTCTGGCCTTTCCTCCACACCGCCTCCACCGGGTAGGTGCGAGTGCTCTGCCCACGGCAGGGGCCCTAGCCCACCCAGCGTCCGGCCAGTAGCCCCACACTGCCCCCTTCCTGCAGATCGCGCGACTTGGGGGAGGGTGGGGGGCGTCTCCACCTGTGCGTCCCCTACCCACCCCCTAACTGGGCTCAGGCGCGGCCTGGGTTTCTGCCCGCCCCTTTCCAGCCTGGGGACTGGGGACTCTCCCAGCCTCGCCCCTCCCCCTCCAATCTGTCCCTCATGTCCCCGCTCCAGACACTCACCCACTTTCTGAGACCCGGGCCGAGCGCCGGTGTCCCCCGGCGGGGAGCTCCGAGTCGTTAGGCGGCCCCAGGTCCTCCGGCCCAGGGCCCCTGCCCCCAGGCCCCCGCCCCAGAAGGTCAGGCCAGACCTGTGGGCAGCGGGAACTCCGCCACCACCTCCGTCCGCGGCCCTGCGGGGGCAAAAACGGGGGGAACTCGCAAGTTTGCGCCGCGCACTCCTCCGGCCGGGAACAATGGCGGGAGGGGGAGGGGACAGAGAACCGAGCGCGGGGACCGAGTCAGACCGTAGGGAGACAGAAACTGCTTTCGCTCGGTTTCTCTCCTGCACCGAAGCAGAAAGCTCGAGCCCGAGAGGCAGAGGCCGAGGACGAAATAAGCAGTCCAGGAGGAGGGCGACCGCGGAGCCGGGGGAGAGGGGAAACCGAGTCAGAGGGAGGGGCGGCAAGGGGAGAGCGCGCAGGAGAGACGGAAAGGGCTGCGAGACGGCGCCTTGGGGAGTCGGGGAGGCGACCCCCTGGGGTCCCAGCGGACTCATCGGGTGCCGAGATGTCCCGGGGCGCCTGGCTAG